TTCAAAATAAAAAACTGGGACGTCCCCGGTTTGTGGCGGTTGGTAATAATAAAATGAAAGAAATGAGTCGTAATGAAGGAGCTGCTGATGTCGTCGTGACTTTAGCGAATTTATATGAAGAAAAATGAAAAACCCACCACTTCAGTCCAGGTTAAAAAAGCATCATGACGCACGATTCTCACATTTGTACCAGTAAAATATGAACTTTTGTTCCCTGTAAAGCCACAATCCATGTGTCATTCGTTCATTTGTTTTTCAATATAAAATCAAAAATAAGAAAACGAAAAAAAAACTACTATTTTCTTCATTATTTGTCTCCAAAACCAAAATGAAAAAACAGATAATGATTCATTTTTTCAGTTTTCGATTTTGTGTTTAAATGAAAAATGGAAAAAACGGATAACGGACGTTTCCCGTTTATGTGATTTAAACGGTGGACTGAACCAGGACTGATCCAGGTCCAGGACCAGAGCGGGACCAGGGTGGACTCTGAGTTTTGACTCTGAGCCTCAGCTTCGAGCTCCAGCGCTACCGTGGGCTCTGAGCCTCCGGTCTGGTCTCAGTCTCAGTCCTCTCAGTCCCGGTCTGGTCCCGGTCTGGTCTCGGTCTCAGGCTCAGTCTGGTCCCAGTCTCAGTCCCGGTCTCAGTCCCGGTCTTGTCCCGGTCTCGGTCTCAGTCTCGGTCTGGTCCCGGTCTGGTCTCAGTATCAGTGCCGGTCTCAGTCCTGGTCTGGTCTCGGTCTCAGTCCCGGTCTCAGTCCCAGTCTGGTCCTAGTCTGGTCTCGGTCTCAGTCCCGGTCTCAGTCCCGGTCTGGTCCTGGTCTGGTCTCGGTCTCAGTCTCGGTCTGGTCCTGGTCTGGTCTCGGTCTCAGGCTCGATTTGGTCCCAGTCTCAGTCCCGATCTCAGTCCCAGTCTCAGTCCCGATCTGGTCCCAGTCTCAGTCCCGGTCTGGTCCCAGTCTCAGTCCCGGTCTGGTCTCAGTCTCGGTTTGGTCCCGGTCTCAGTCCCGGTCTCAGTCCTGATCTGGTCCTGGTCTGGTCTCGGTCTCAGTCTCGGTCTGGTCCTGGTCTGGTCTCGGTCTCAGGCTCGATTTGGTCCCGTCTCAGTCCTCTGGTCCCAGTCTCAGTCCCAGTCTCCGGTGGTCCAGTCTCAGTCCCGGTCTGGTCCAGTCTCAGTCCCGGTCTGGTCCCAGTCTCAGTCCCGGTCTGGTCTCAGTCTCGGTTTGGTCCCAGTCTCAGTCCCGGTCTCAGTCTCAGTCCCGGTCTGATCTCAGTCCCAGTCTGGTCACGGTCTGGTCCTGGTCTCAGTCTCGGTCTGATCCCGGTCTGGTCCCGGACCTGGATCAGTCCTGGTTCAGTCCGTATGCGTTGCAAAAGTCCGACATCGCAGTCCCGGACGTCTCGTAAACGCCGTTATCCGTTTTTTCCATTTTTCATTTAGACACAAAATCAAAAACTGAAAAAAAAAACCCGAATCATTATCTGTTTTTTCATGTTGGTTTTGGAGACAAATAATGAAAAAAACAGTTGTTTTTTCATTTTCTCATTTTTGGTTTTAATTTGCAAAACGATTGAATGAATGATGCGCTCGACTTTTGTCCTGCGCCTGCTGATGTAAAAGTGTAAATGTAAAACAGGCGTTGTGACTGTGAGCGGGGTCGCCTCTCCACAGATCCGACCTGTAACTTTGTGCGAAAGCATAAAAAAAAAATAATGTAAAAAATCAACTTTGCATAATAAATCCTTTTTCAGTTGTAACGTTCCTAAACCTGGAGTCCAGCAGTCGCACCTGTGCAGCGTGCTCTCTGTCGCCCCCTCTGTCCTCTCCGTGTCATATCTCCAGTCCTGGTGTAGTTCCAGGCTCTTTTCTGTATCACTGACTCGGTGTTTCTCTGATCTCGGCGGCGGCACTGATATTTGGAGCGTAGCTGGCAGCGGCGGCAGCAGCAGCAGCAGCAGCAGCAGCAGGCGGCGGCAGAGCTCACCCCCCTCCAGCGCTCGGCTATTCAGCGGCACAAGCATGAAAAATGTCATTTGTGGACTATATTTAGACGTCCAGGGTCCAGGGTCTGTACAGAAGTGAACAATAAGGAGGAAGAGGAGGAGGAGGAAGAGGAGGGACTGGGATTTACTGAAGAGGAGGAGGAAGAGGAAGAGAAGGAGGAAGAGAGGAGGAGGAGGAGAGGAGGAGGAGAGGAAGAGAGGAGAAGGAGGAGGAGGAGGAGGAGAGGAGGAGGAGGAAGGAGGAAGAGGAGGAGGAGAAGAGGAGGGGAGGGGAGGAAAGGAGGAGGAGAGGAGAGAGGAGGAGAGAGGGGAAGAGAGGAGGAGGAGGAGAGGAGGAGGAAGAGGAGGAGGAGGAGGAGAGAAGGAGAAGAGGAGAGGAGGAGGAGGAGGAGGAGGAGAGGAGGAGGAGGAAGAGGAAGAGGAGGGGAGGAGAGGAAGAGGAGGAGGAGGAGGAGGAGAAGGAGGAAGGAGGAGGAAGGAGGAGGAGGAGGAGGAGGAGGAGGAGGAGAGGAGGAGAGAGGAGGAGGAGGGACTGGGGATTTACTGAGGAGGAAGCTCAGACTCTGACCTGATTCTGCTGACACTTCATCACATGTGACACCAGTGTTGGGGAGTAACAGATTACAAGTACTGGAGTTAAGTAATCAGAGTACAAATGATGAGTAACTGTATTCAGTTACAGTTCAGTGAGTGGTAATTGGATTACAGTTACTTTGTTAAAATAAATGGATTACACAGAGGGATGTTCCTGTTTTCACATTTTGGGCTATTTCTTTTTTTAGTAATTCCACTCATTGCCGGACACTAAACCAGGACTAAAACCAAGACTAAACCAGGACTGAACCAGGACTGAACCCAGGTCTAAACTAGATCTAAACCAGGTCTAAACCAGGTCTAAACCAGTACTAAAACAGGATTTAACAGGACGACACCATTCTATCAATAATATTTTTAATTTGGTTCAGTAAAGTTTGGGCTTTTTATTTTCTTTTATCAGACAAAACATCTTATGTTACGATTTCCTCGTCTTTGCTTCTCTACAGCAAATCAAGTAATCCAAAGTATTCAGATTACATTACTCACTTTAAGTAACTTAATGGATTACATTACAAACTACATTTTGGTGTATGTAATCTGTAATCTGTAGGGGATTACATTTTAAAAGTCACCTTCCCAACACTGTGTGACACAAATGAGAAGAGAAAACAAAATCCCCGCGTTTAAAAGGTTTTATGTGATGCAGAACTGACTCTCGGGAGATTTAACTCATGTTCTAGTGTTGTTACTCGTCAAAAACAAACCTGGAGTCGTGTTGTTGTTTGCTCTGCTCCACCTTGTGATGTCATGAAGCGGGAGTTTTCAAGTTCACGGCTCCTTTAAGCTTTATCAAACATGGAGAAGTGGAAAAGAACTGTCTAAAACAGTGGTCCCCAACCTTTTCTGCGCCACGGACAGTGTTGGGAAGGTGACTTTTAAAATGTAATCCCCTACAGATTACAGATTACACACACCAAAATGTAGTTTGTAACACTCACAGTTCGTTCATCAGGCAGTGATACAGTGCGTTCAGTTCACGTTCACCCAAAACATGAACATGTTCAGGTGGCAGCCTCTTACGTCGGGTGTGCACTGTGCGACTTTTGACCCTTTCTGACTTGATTTTTCACTCGTGTGATTGTTTTTGGGATCGGGCCGAGTCTCCACTTAGTGTGTCGTGTTTCGAGTAGTGCACACGGGATAACGAGAACCGATTAATACCTCTTGATCAACTCACGATCAACAATAGGGTTCAGTCAAGCGGTAACGGAGGGAAACAGGGGCAGATTTTTGACATTCAAATGTCTCTTATTCAAAAACTAGAGGGACTATTGAAATAAGTAAAGTATCAGAATGTAGGAAAGAGTTACACTCCAACAGGGTCAAGTTAAACCTGTGATATTCTTTCAAGTTGTTGACAACAAATTTAAAAACTCATGTCGGTAACGGAGGGAATGAAATATGCAGCACTTTTTGGGCAATAAACACAAACAGTGATAACTCTTGGTTCTCACTTACATATCCTTAACAAACTGGTTTGAATATTTGTTTCATATAGTTTTCTACCATATGGTACAAGATTAGGTTGAAAAACCTCTTACTTTTTGACTCATGAGATTTTTTATTAAGAAAGGTCATGGTAACGGAGGGAAAATTGTTCAAACAAGTAGAAGGTGCATGATTTTACATAATTTGTCGCTTTTTTCTTCTGAATACTTTAATATTACTTCAAAATGAAAGGAAACTATTTCTATAAAATATGTCAGTCCTTCCAAGCAAATTTTTATCATTTTAAATACTTTTTTTTTTTTTTTTAAATCTTTTTTTTTTTTTATCATGTACCTTCATCAACAGTTCAAAGATGGAATAACACAAGATATGATGAAATACATCCATTTATTTACATGATTTTCAGGTCTTTGAAAATTGGGAAATAATTTTTGTTCCATGTTTCATACATGGTCTGTTTAAAATGTATGGAACTTTAGAACCAAAAATGGTACAGAAAAAAGGTCAACAGTTTCATAAACTAGAGCACATATGTATCTGTTCAATACATTTTTATATCAGATGAATTTTGGTCTTGTTGTTTACTTCTGCTTGACTGGGCCCATTTGTAGGTTGCAAGAAAATCAAACCTGTTTGAATCCAGTCGACTCTCGTGAGGGTTTTTCTCTGTTGAATCGTTCAGTGTGAGAACATGAATCGTGAGCTGTGAACTTTTAAACTCTGTGATTTGGTCGTACAGTTTGATCTGGAGCTGAGTGAAAAGACTGAAAATATGGCAGCGTGTACGTCTGGCACTAACCAGCCGTATGTCTCTCCCACCTTAGACCCCGAAAGATACAAAGCACCAAGTTTATGCCATTAGCTCTTTGATACATATATTTATGTTTTTAAAAAGTTAAAATTAAACTTGAATATTTTCTTAAACCGTTCTCTCTCTCTCTGTTTGTGCAGTTTCGTCCTGTATCACCACCTACAAGAAGACTCCGCCCCCTGTGCCGCCCCGAACCTCCACCTGCTCCACCTCCAAACCCTTCATCTCCATCACAGCGCAGAGCAGCACCGAGTCAGCCCAGGTATGACCCCCTGACCCCGCCCCCTACCACCTGACCCCACCCACTCACACCTGACCCCGCCCACTCACACCTAACCCCGCCCAATCAAATCCAAGAGGTGAAATCCTATGAACTCCCTTATAAAACTGAGATTTTATATTTTATCACTTATTTTTTCTATTTTATTTTGACTTGTACATATATTTGACACCTCTGGCTATCTTTTGTGTTACGTATTTAGTATTTATTATTACATTTATATTTTTTACTCTTTGTTATTATATTATATTGTGATGTTTGAGCTGCCGTGTCCAAATTATTTCCCTTGTGGATCAGTAAAATTTGTCTAAGACGACACATATAAAATCATGTACTTAAACATTTTAGATTTGCTTTTTAAACAAAAATACAAATGATTATTATGAATTGTTAATTATTTATGCAAATTCGTAAACCTTATGAAATGGAGCTTACATGCTGTACATTAAAGGTGCAACAAGTCCCGTTTATGTGACTTAAACTGCGATGTTGGACTGAACCAGGACTGATCCAGATCCGGGACCAGACCGGAACCAGACCGGGACTGAGGCCGGGACCAGAGCGAGACTGAGACTGGGACCAGCCTGAGACTGAGACTAGACGGGCACAAAACCGGGACCAGACCGAGACCAGACCGAGACTGAGACTGAGACTAGGCCGGGACCAGACCGGAGGCTCAGAGCCCACGGCAGGGCCAGAGCTCGAAGCTGAGGCTCAGACCCCGCGGAGGCTCGGAGTCAAAGCTCAGAGTCAAAGCTCAGAGTCCCCCCTGGTCCCGCTCTGGTTCCGGTCTGGTCCTGGACCTGGATCAGTCCTAGTTCAGTCAGTATGCAGTAGAGATGCGCGGATGGGCTATTTTTTCATCCGCAACCGCGACACAAAACTCTTCATCCGCCCGCTGTCCATTTGCACCCAAGGTTTTGACCAATTTTCAAAACCGCACTCGCCCGCCGTCCTCCGATTGATTTTAGATTTTAGAACAATCACACAGCAAACAAACGAAGGAGCCTCGATAAAAATGCAAACTCTACAGCTCATTCATTCCAAAATTCGCTCAACGTGCATGTTCACCTTCTTAATTGTCTGTAACAAAACGCCGCTCGTTGCTCAGGGTTTAACTCCCTGTTCGGAGCCTCACCGTGAGTGTGTGGGTTCAATAAACGCGCCAGTTTGTTGTTCAAGAATCGTGGCTTTATTTGCCGTGATGCACTAAATAACAGGACAATTGCTTCCTGACTCGCTTCGGTCGCCTTCTGACCGTTCATTTCACATACAGTAAAACATAGACGCCCATTCAAGAAGCGCGTTCCTCACACAGTCACTCAGTCACGCTCACGCCACACGCCACACGCCACACGCCACTATAAACACTGCACATAGGAGTAAAGACGCATATCTCACAACACTTAACAATATAGGCTGTAATAATATAAATATATTTTTTAATTTGAGTAGTTAAACCGCCACCCGCCCGAATTTGATTAAAATATTATTTTTCGTCACGTCATCCGCCCAACCTGCAGTTTAGCTGCGGACACCGCGGCTGTAAACACAATCCGCACATCTCTAGTATGCGGTGCAAAAGTTCGGTATCGCAATCACGGAAGTCACATAAACGGGAAACGGTTGTTATCCGTTTTTTCCATTCTTCATTTAAACACAAAATCGAAAACGAAAAAAACAAATTGTTATTTGTTTTTTCATTTTGGTTTTGGAGACAAATAATGAAGAAAATCTTTGTTTTTTTTTGTTTTCTTGTTTTTGCTTTTATATTGAAAAACGAATGAACGAATAACACACGGATTTTTGATGCTCACTTTTCGGAGGATCCTTCCCAGTGTGCATTGCGCGATGACCGGAAGTCCAAAATTCAGGATGCACGAATTCCAGAACAATAAGCTGATATAAGTTAAGTGTATAAGTTGGCGTGTTTTGTGCTTACAGGACGCGTACATGGAGGAGGAGGGCCCCCGCGGTGACATGACCATCCAATCAGGACTGTCCAACTCCACGGAGAGCATCGACAGCATGAAGGCTCTCACCGCCGCCATCGAGGCCGCCAACGCTCAGGTCTGTCTCCCGTCTCCTCCTCTCACCCACGAGGCTGCGGGTTACACTCCACATCGTCTCTGTGTGTGTTTATTTTACATAATTACACACGTCTGCTGAAGTGGAAGGAACGGATTTCCAACCGTAACATTTTATGCAAAGTTAAAGGTTCTGTATGACACGAAACGGACTCTTGGAAGCGTTAAAAGGATCGTGTGCGTCTAAATATGCTGTGATCAAACTATCTGACAAAATAACATTGATTTAAACATTTTTTTTAAAAACTGTAATTTTAAGAAAGTGCACACATTTTCACACACGTTCAGAACACCTGATCTTTTGTGTGCGAAGCATTCTGGGTCCATGACGTCATGAGGGTGTTGTCTTCTATCCAAGATTAGTCCTGGCTTTAGTCCTGATTTAGTCCTGGTTTAGACCTGTTTTAGTCCTGGTTTAGTTCTGGTTTAGTCCTGGTTTAGACCTGATTTAGTCCTGGTTTAGTCTTGTTTAAGTCCTCTTTCAGTCCAGTTTCAGTTCCAGCTTAAACCTGTTTTAGACTTGATTTAGTCCTGTTTTAATCCTGCCTTAGTCCTCTTTTAGTCCTGGTTTAGACCTGGTTTAGTCCTGTTTTAGTCCTGTTTTAGTCCTGGTTTAATCCTGTTTTAGTCCTGGTTTAGTTCTGATTTAATCCTGTTTTAGTCCTGGTTTAGTTCTGATTTAATCCTGTTTTAGTCCTGGTTTAGTTCTGATTTAGTCCTGGTTTAGACCTGGTTTAGTCTTGTTTAAGTCCTGTTTTAGTCCAGTTTCAGTCCCGGTTTAAACCTGTTTTAGACCTGATTTAATCCTGTTTTAATCCTGCCTTAGTCCTCTTTTAGTCCTGGTTTAGACCTGGTTTAGTCCTGTTTTAGTCCTGTTTTAGTCCTGTTTTAGTCCTAGTTTAGTCCTGTTTTAGACCTGGTTTAGTCCTGTTTTAGTCCCGGTTTAAACCTGTTTTAGTCCTGGTTAAGTCCTGGTTCAGTCCTTATAATTTTAGTGTTTATAATTTATGCAAATTAATCATGTGGTTTTAAGTTTCATTTCTATAAAACATAAACAAACGTGCGCAAAGCTGAATTAAACACATTATAATTATTATAATCTCAAACGGGCTGATGTGTCCCTAGAGTCATTTTGGTTTATATATTTTAAAGTTTAGTAATATAAAGTTTATTTCAATGAATAATCTGCTGCAGTGTCACTTGTGCAATAGTGTTTGGAAACGTCGGGTTTGATCTGCAGTGGATTGTGGGAGGTTGAGTTGTTTTATTTCTTCCTTTATTTTACAGTTAAATTATTATTTTTGTATTATCTTTTTTAATGTCGCAGAAGCAGTTTGTTCCTACACGAAAAGCCGACCTGTTTCCACTTCGATAAAAAAAGACGTTGTGGAATTTGTTATGTTTTTGGGATGATTGTTTTTTCTTGTACAGATATATTTTTTGCTCCGTATCGCCGAGCCGTACTTTGAGCCTCCGCGGGGTCCGAGCCTCAACTTCGAGCTCCGGCCCTGCTGTAGGCTCTGAGCCTCCAGTCCGGTCCCAGTCTGGTCCCAGACCTGGTCCATTTGAACCAAAAGCTCTTAGTTCGGTTTGTTTTCGTTGGTGTGAAAGTGTCAGTTGATGCTTTGCACCACCTCGGAACCAGCCGCGGTTCTTGAGCGCGGACGGACTGGAGCAGCCCGTCCGGACCTGTAGTCCACAGCGCATTCTCGCTTTCCCTGCACGGAACCAGCGCGCAGACGATGACACGGAACCACTCGGACCGCTGGTCTCGGTCTCAGTTCCGGTCTGGTCCCGGTCTCAGTCCCCCTCTAGTCCCGCTCTGGTCCTGGACCTGGATCAGTCCTGGTTCAGTCCGTATGCGGTGCAAAAGTTCGGCATCACAGTCACGGAAGTCACGTAAACGGGAAACGGCCGTTATCCGTTTTTTCCATTCTTCATTTAAACACAAAATCGAAAACTGAAAAAACGAATCGTTATCCTTTTTTTAATTTTGGTTTTGGAGACAAATAACGAAGAAAACTGTTGTTTTTTCGTTTTCTTATTTTTGGTTTTATATTGAAAAATGAATGAACGAATGATACACGGATTATATTTCCTAGTCTTCGCTTTCGGGAGACGGTCGTTTGTTTCATGATCTCCGTCTTTCTTTTCATACCTGTTAAATATTTTTCCGTGGCGTCTTTTGAGAGTTTGTTCACTGCACTTCGTATCTCCTGCTCTGTGCTCTGAGTGCGTATGAAAAAAAAAAAAAACAAAAAAAAACGACACTATACTGGCAACTACTGTGGTGGATGTGGAAATACACTTTATTCTAGTACAGCAACAAAAAAAACAGTATGAACTCATCCTAAATGTGCAGGGTTTGTGCGTTAAACGTGTGTGAATGAAACAAAAAAACACAACTCCAGGTCTGTTTGTGTCGAGGAAACTACATTAGAACACAGATCTAAAATATGGGCCTTTGAAATAAACTGTAGGTGTTTTTGATTCACGGCTTCTGTAATGTGCACGATGAGTTATTGTCTGAGCCCCAATGCACTTTACAATTTAGTCTGAATGCAGAGAAAGAGAGAAAGTAATAAACTGGACAAACATCCACAGACAGAACACAGACGAGGAGCAGACACTGGACTTTATGAACTGGATTTAAAGGAAACATACAGATATGACGCTATTTTCTGATCTTTGTTTCATTCTCATGTTTAACAAACAAATCTTGTTTACTTATTTATGTATTTACGTCGACCGGAACAAAACACACACTTCAGCTGCTGCCGGCGTTTTTGTCATCTCGGTTTGTCGTTATGTGGGTGGCGGTGGCGGTGGACTGTGGCGGTGGGCGGTGACTGTGGCGGTGACTGTGGCGGTGGGCGGTGACTGTGGCGGTGACTGTGGCGGTGACTGTGGCGGTGACTGTGGCGGTGTGACTGTGTGCGGTGACTGTGGCGGTGGGCGGTGTGACTGTGGCGGTGACTGTGGCGGTGACTGTGGCGGTGTGACTGTGGCGGTGACTGTGGCGGTGACTGTGGCGGTGGGCGGTGACTGTGGCGGTGACTGTGGCGGTGACTGTGGCGGTGGGCGGTGACTGTGGCGGTGACTGTGGCGGTGACTGTGGCGGTGACTGGGGCGGTGACTGTGGCGGTGACTGTGGCGGTGACTGTGGCGGTGACTGTGACTGTGGGTCGTCAGGGCCTGTGGTTCAAGTTTATTCTTCACTTTGTTAACACAGTAGAACTTCCTCATGAGTTAAGACATTACATCAACAACATCAGCATGCTAACCACACACCGCTGTTACTATTAAATACATTTAAGACAAACACAAGAGGAAACAGGAGATTTGCTTTAAAATGTTTATTTTTTAAACAAGTTAATGCATTTATACACATTCCAAAAGAAACGTTCTTTCTATTGAAACGACTCTAAATGCATCTTCTGGTCAGCTGATGGTCTACAGAAACACCCTCGTCAGCCTCGAGAAGAAGCGTGACAGGGTGGACTTGGGGCACGTGTGGAAAACTCTCAGCTCGCTGTTGACATGGGTCAGAACCGCTGCCTCAAAAGGCACAGTGTCCTGTGCTGAAGCTGCCCTGAAGAGGGCAGAAGAGGAGCCATACTGCACTTTCAAATGTCTGGCCACTTTTTTGCCAATTTCTTTTAAATCCTTAGGGCTGATCTCACCATCCTCGTCTACAATGACGTGCTCCTGGATTTTTCGGTGTAACTCTGCAGCCATCAGGCTGTGGTCCTGTTCACACATTTTGGCCATTTTAAAAATGTGTTTTGGCACAAGCCTCAGTGAGGACGTAGGACACTCTGTGTCCACAGGAGGGCGCAGGTGGGCTGATCGTCTCTGTGATGGTTTCCAGAGGAGTGGACGTGTCGTGTGTTTGTTGGTGCAGGTTGTGTTCTGCTGGGGTCACGTCCCTCTCGTCCTCTGGCTCATGTGAGCAGTGGGTGAAGTGCAGCTCTGGGGCTCTTCAGGCAGAACTGGACTCAGGCTGCAGACGTCTTCACTCTGCTCTTGGTCAGTGGTGGTGTCATTTTCTGCACTAACTCCAGTGGAGGCAAACTGGGACAGGTCTTCCACAGAGAGCTCCTGTAGTTCCTCTGACACAGGTTGCTCTTCCTCCTGGAGCTCGTCATTAACTTGGCTCAGGGATGTGTTGTCCTGGGACATGTCAGGTGTGTGTTCCAGGACATTTTCAGGATGAATTTCTTGTGGAAATTCTGATATTTCTTCAGTTTCCTGGGGAGATGTTTCCTCCTCTACCAGTCTGACCAAGTCACTTTGGGAAACAACTGAGGCAGCTTCAGGTTCAGAGACCATCTCCTCAGACTGGATTTCTTCTGGTGTTTCCTCCAGAAGCCCATTCGTCTCAGTGATGGTCTGTTCTGCTGGGCTGGTGACATCCTGTGCATGTGAGTTTTCTTCAGGCTCAGGAGTCACTGGTTTGGTCACCTGGGACTTGGTGCGGGTGAGGAAGGCTCTCAGCTCTGTGTTGAGATGGTTCAGAACAGCTGCTTCAAAAGCTGCAGTGTCTAGTGCACAAAGAGCTCTCACGAGGGAGTGAGGAGAGTCATACTCCACTTGGATCTGTTTGACCGCTCTTTTGCCAATTTCTTGTAAATCTTCCAGGCTGATGTCACCATCTCCAACAATGACGTGTTCCTGGATTTTTCTTTGTATCTCCTCCGCCATAAGGCTGTAGTCCATGTTGGCCACTTTTAAAATGTGTTTAACACAAGCCCCTGTGAGGATGTGGGACGCTCCGTGTCCACAGGAGGGAGCAGGCGGGTCGATCATCTCCTCTGCTGGGACAGGATCTTCTGCTGGACTGACAGGTTCTACTGAGCTGGTATTTTCCTGTGGAGATGGAACCTGCTCAGGACTGGGCTCCTGTGGTGAATCCACTGAAACATCTGTGGCGTTAGATTGGTTTTCTTTTCTAAATCTCTCCTTCTTTGCTCTTAGCGCCTG